TAAGATTCTATCTCAAAATAAAAGAAGAATGTCTTTTAAATTTCAAGGGGAGGATAATGAGAGCTTCTATGTGTCCCAATAAAGATACAGTAGAAAGCACACAATACTACCCAAAATATCCTTGCTAGGAAAAGTAAGATAAGCTTGATGCCACCTCTAGGTTTCAGCCAGCTCTGAAGAAATACAGGAATTGGAGAACAGTTTAAAAATACTTTAAATTGGGGCTGGAGAGATGGCTCAGAGGTTAAGAGCACTGGCTGTTCTTCCAGAGGTCCTGAGTTCAATTTCTAGCAACAGCATGGTGGCTCACAACCATCTGTAATGAGATCTGGTGCCCTCTTCTGGCCTGCAGGGATACATGCAGACAGAATACTATACAAAATAAATAGCATTGGTATGAGGTCTTCCTTGAAAGCTTGACAAAATTCAGCAGTGAATCTGTCAGATCCTGAGCTTTTCTTTGAGGAAAGGCTTTTATAAACAGTTTAATTTCATGCTGTATGGTCTGTTTAATTAAGTTCTTTGTATCTCCAGGGCTTCATCTTGGTAGATGATGTGAGTTGAGGGAATTTTCTTGAATTGTCCAGCATTTCAGAGTATAGTTGTTCACAGTAATTTCTAATGACGTTCTGGTTTCAGTGGCGACACCCTTGACCTCTAATTTTATTAACTTCTGTCTTCACGTCTTGTCCCATTAGCTCAAAGTTGTCTATCTCACTTTTTCAAAGAACTAACTCTGATTTTGTACTGTCATTTTAATCTCAATTTCATTACTTTCTTTCCTAATCTGTATTATTTTTTTACTGTCTACGATGTGTGGGGGTAGCTGCTTGCTTTCTGAGAGCCTTGAGGGTTCATCATTACATTATTTCATATCTCTTGAGTTTGGTTTGGTTTGGTTTGGTTTATCAGGCTTTCTCTGTATAGCCCTGGCTGTCCTGGCACTCACTCTGTAGACCAGGCTGACTTTGAACTCCCAGAGATCCTCCTGCCTCTGCCTCCCAAGTGCTGGGATTAAAGGTGTGCACCACCACCGGCTATCTCTCAGAATTTTTTTTTTTATCTCTCAGATTTTTAATTTCATGATTTAGAGCTATGACCTTTCCTCTTAGGGCTGCCCTGGCTTCATTCCAGAGTTGTGATGAGATGTGCTTTCATTTTCATTTGTCTCTAGAGTAGCATTCATTCATTTGTACTAATACTCTTGGAGAAAGAAATTAGGAAACAAATTCCATTCAAAATAACTCTGCCCCCAAATTAAGCATTTAGGAATATATTTAATTGAATACAATGAAAACTTCAAGATTCTGAAAAAGGAAATCACGGGAGATATTAAATAATGGGAAAATATTACATATTCCCGAATAGGCAGAATTAATATTGTGAAAATATCTATACTGAAAAATTAATATAAAGAATGAATGTATACCTATCCAAATTCCATGTCATCTTTCATGAGTTAGAAGAAACAATACAAGAACTACATGGAACCACAGAAGACCACAAATAGATAAGTACTCCCAGGGAGTAATAAATAACACTGTTAGAGATATTAAAACACCTGACCTTAAATTATATCATCCAGCTATAGTGATAAAGACAGCCCAGTCCCGGAATGAAACAGACAGACAGACGAATGAAATGGAATAGAGAACCCAGAAGTAAAATGGCAAAAACGCACATAATATTTGACACAGAAGACAAAAACATAGTTTGGTAAAAAAAAAAAAAAAAAAAAAAAAAAAAAGAGAAAAGAAAAAAAAAAAACCAGTTTTGCCAGCACCAAATGGCTACTATTTTAAAAAAAAAAAAAAAAAAAAAAAAAAAAAAAAAAAAAAAGTCTCACTGTGCAGCATTAGCTGACCTGGACTTACTGTGTAGACCAAGCTGGGTCGTGAACTCACAAAGTTCCACCTGCCTCAGCTCCCTAGTGCTGGGATTATGTGTGTCATCATACCTGGAAAATAATAACTATTTTAAAGCAGGAGGATTGCAGTGAGTTCAGGAAGAACATGGGGTATACAGGGGAGGGTCCAAGGTCAGACTTGACTAGAGTGAAATCATATAAAGTTTTTTTTTTTCTTTCCTATGTACATTGTGGTTTTGCTTGCATGTATGACTGTGTGAGGATGCCACATGCCCTGGAACTGGAATTACAGACAGTGATGAAATGCCATGTGGGTGCTAGGAATTAAACCGGGGTCCTTTGGAAGGGCAATCAGAGTGGCCAGTGCTCTTAACCACTGAGCCATCTCTCCAGCCCCCCAAACAATATATTTAAAAATAAAGGAAAAGACAAACAAAAATCACAGTTGTAAAGAGTGGGTCACCAGCCAGGCAGTGGTGGATCACACCTTCAGTCCCAGCACTCAGGAAGCAGAGGCAGGTGGATCTCTGTGAGTTCATCTACAAAGCTACACAGAGAAACCCTGTCTCAAAATCTCCCACCCCCCAAAAAAGGTCACCAAAATTACCTTAAGCTATCTTAGGCCCTTAGGCCAATTTCTTCAACTTTCTATCTGACCTAACAGTCTCCTGACTAATAAATGTCTCAAAATATATTCACTAAGTTAGGCAACATCCAGCCTCCACCAACCCTAAAACTAAGAGTGGTGTAAATCATACCATGAAAACCAAATAGAAAGCCTTCTGCCAGCAAATTCCACAACACGTCTTTTCCCCAGGACTAACAGATGCCAGTAGTAGTGTTTAAAATGGGTCTGGGGTCTCAAGAAAATGGCCACACCACACGTTCTAGCTTGCTTTCTGTTGCAGAGGCTGGAACCATGCAGGACAGGCACTCACTGGCTCACTCCCTACCCACTTAAGCTGCATACAGTCCAGGCACTGTTTACAGAGGGCTGAGCTCTCCATCAATTAGCAACCAAGACATCCCACAGGCCAATCTCAACTGAAACTCCCTCAATAACTCTAGACTGTGCCCAACTGACAGCTGATTCTAACTGGGAAACCATACAATCTGCAGTGTTTAGCAAGGTAAGACAGTTGGCTTCTGCAGTAGGGAATTTAGCCATCTTAAGCAAACATATTGTACAGGGAGGGTGATATTAGGTGTTTATTCCTAAAGAGTCCTGTGCCTTATTCTGAGTGGTCAGAAGGCTGCCTCGTGGACTTAGTGGCTAGCAGCACAGTTGATTAGCAAAGTGCAACTTCTCAACACAGGATCCGAGTCAACCTTTAAAAAGAGAGCACCCTTCAGCACATTACTTCAGTCTTAGGAAAATTCTGATGGGAGGGGCCTGTCCGATGGCATCTTTACCAATTCCTTCAAAGACAGAACTTACTCAATCTCATGAACTTTTCCATAGAAAAGATTATGGGAAATGGGGGCCTAACAGGTCTGTGAGGATAAGACCAAAAGCACCACCTCCTTTAGAAAACACTCCTGTCAGGACTGGAAATATGACTTGGGGTGCCACATCTCTGCTGTGCAAAACAAAATACAGTTTTCCTCTGTGGCCAATGGTCTAGCTACTAAGGGTAGCTGGAGAGGCAGGGTGTGTAGTGGGTCAGACAACCAATAAGCATCTCTAATGGGTTATTGGGGTAGATGGGGTGACCAGGCAAGAATCTGGAAAATGAGTTGGCATTAAGTTACTTTAGTTCTGGGAGTTGTCATTGCTTAAGTAAAATGGAGGCACTTTATAAAACGGCATGAGCATGGCTAACCATTGAGAATTTTTTCACTTAATGTGGTACAGCTGCTAAGGATTTGAAGATTATTTGTGGAAGGAAAGGGATCCTGCTGTTGAGAGGTTGTTGGCCCCAGGGAGGGTTGGGGGAGGCAAAGGTGGAATGGTTCAACTTGCTTTATACCAAAAAGGAGTTACAGAATTTTATAATGAATGTCATCACTAGCCATCATTTTCTAGCAATTCTTTAGACAAAAAGTCACCCACTGGTTCTTTCCTTTGGGCAGCTCTAACAACCAAAGGCAAAAATCAAACACGGTAGCTATGGCCGCTCTATTTTATAAAGCTCCCAAATTTTGGTGAAATAATGTGAATTCCTGAAACCAAAGAAATTTGGTTCCCACAGCCAAAGTAACTTGCTTTTCCAGATTCTTGCCCTCCGCGTCCTATCGACCCTCCCCGCCCCCTAATGAGGATGTTTGTCAACCTCCTGACATTTTAAACTCACCTTATTTCCCAGCTACCCCTAGCCAACCACTTTCCTACCCCGTAACCCTCGGACCCTACAGGGCACCTATGCAGGTCTTTTCCAGGGTAAAGCCCGCGCTCGCTCGCTCGTTTCCTCATCGCCTTCTCGATGACCTTACAGCACAGGATCAGAGGGCAAAAGAGCGGTCGTTCCCGAGGCCGCGGAGCGCTCGGGCTTTCACCCTGCGGTCCCTTTAAGAAAAGAACCCTCTCCGGACCCGCAGGCCTAACCGACCCCAGTTTTAACCGAAACCTAACCTGGACTTCCCCTTCTTGACTCAAATAAGACTAACTTTGGATTTTCCCTCCCCTCTCGACCAATCAGATTCTGTTACCAGGCAGACTTTCACTGCCTTCGTCTTGTTGGCAGCAACGACCAATCACAGAGTAGGCCGTGCGTGTATCCAGGCAGATCGCGGCTGGCACAACCATTCAGAAAAAGGAAAATAAAAGCAACGCACGAGC